AAAATTGTGCTACTGCACTCCAGCCTGTGCAATAGAGAGAGACTGTCTCAAAAAAAAACAAAACAAAAGTAGAAAAACAGCAAGTAACCTAATGATGCACCTTAAAGAACTAGAAAAGCAAAAGCAAACCAAACCTAAAATTAGTAAAATAAAAGAAATAATAAAGATCAGAAGGCCAGGCGTGGTGGCTCATGCCTGTAATCTCAGCACTTTGGGAGGCTGAGGCAGGCAGATCACTTGAGGTCAGGAGTTCAAGATCAGCCTGGCCAAGATGGTAAAACCCCAATTGTACAAAAAATACAAAAATTAGCTGGGAGTGGTGGTGGGCACCTGTAATCCCAGCTACACAGGAGGCTGTGGCAGGAGAATTGCTTGAACTCAAGAGGCGGATGTTGCAATGAGCTGAGATCATGTGTACTGCACTCCAGCCTAGGCACAGAGCGAGATTCAGTCTCAAAAAAAAAAAAAAAAAAAAAAAAAAGATCAGAGTAGAAATAAATGGAATTAAAACAAGGAAAACAAAAGATTAATAAAACAAAAAGTTTTTTGAAAAGAAAATCAACAAACCTTTAGGCAGACTAAGATCTAAATAAATAAAATCAGAGATGAAAACAGAGACATTACAACCAATATCACAGAAATTCAAAAGATCATTAGAGGCTACTATGAGCAACTACGTGCCAATAAATTGGAAAACAGAAGAAGCAGACAAATTCCTAGACACATGCAACATACCAAGATTAACTATGAAGAGATTCAAAACCTGAACAGACCAATAACAAGCAAGAAAACAGAAGCCAAAATAAAGTCTCCCCGCAAAGAAAAGCCCAAGACCCCATGGCTTTGCTGCTGAATTTTATTTAGCAAACATTTATCTATTTATTCATGCATTCATTCACTCACTCATTCATTCAGACGGAGTTTTGCTCTTGTTGCCCAGGCTGGAGTGCAGTGGTGCAATCTCAGCTCACTGCAACCTCCACCTTCCAGTTTCAAGCAATTCTCCTGCCTCAGCCTCTCAAGTAGCTGAGATTACAGGCGCCCACCATCACACCCAGCTAATTTTTGTATTTTTAGTAGAGACAGAGTTTCATTATGTTGGCCAGGCTGGTCTTGAATTCCTGACCTCGTACTCTGCCTGCCTCAGCCTCCCAAAGTGCTGGGATTACCAGCATGTGCCACTGCGCCTGGCCTAACAAACATTTAAAGAACACCAATCCTGCTCAAACTATTCTGAAAAATAGAGGAAAAAAACCCTCCAAACTCACTCAACAAGGCCAGTATTATCCTGATACCAAAACCAAACAAAGACACATTAAAAAAAAAAAAAAAGAAAACCATAGGCTAACATCCTTGATGAACATTAAGGCAAAAATCCTCAACAAAATACTAGCAACCTGAATCCAACAATACATTAAAAGATCATTCACCATGACCAAATGGGATTTATTTATCGCAGGGATGCAAAGATGGTTCAACATATGCAAATCAATCAATGTGATACATCATATCAACAGAACGAAAGACAAAAACCACGTATTTTCAGGCTGGGTGCGGTGGCTCACGCCTGTAATCCCAGCACTTTGGGAGGCCTAGGCGGGTGGATCACCTGAGGTCAGGAGTTCGAGACCAGCCTGACCAATATGGTGAAACCTCATCTCTATTAAAAAAAAAAAAAAAAACCCACATATTTTCAACTGATGCTAAAAAAAGCATTTGATAAAATTCAAAATTCTTTCTTAATAAAAACTCTCATAAAGCTGGGTATAGTGAGGAACATCCTCAACACTATAAAAGCCATATGCAACAGACCCACAGCTAATACTATACTGAATGAGGAAAAACTGAACTAAAATCTAGAACACCACAAAGATGCTCATTTTAACCACTGTTATTCAACATAGTATTGGAAATCCTAGCGAGAGCAATCAGGAATGAGAAAAAAACAAAGGATGTCCACATTGGAAAGGAAGAAGTCAAATTATCCTTGTTTGCAGATGATATGATCTTATATTTGGAAAAACCTAAAGACTCCACCATAAAACTATTAGAACTGATAAAGAAATTCAGTGAAGTTACAGGAAACAAAAATCAACATACATAAAAGACCCAGAATAGCCAAAGCTATCCTGAGCAAAAAGAACAAAACTGGAGAAATCACATTACTTGACTTCATATTATACTACAGAGCTGCAGTAATGAAAACAGCATGGTGCTGGCATAAAAATGTACACATAGACCAATGGAACAGAACCCAGAACCCAGAAACAAATTCATATGCCTATAGTAAACTCAATTTCAATAAAGGTACCAAGAACATACATTGGAAAAGGACAGTCTCTTTAATAAACGGTGCTGGGAAACTGGATAACATATGCAGAAGAAAACTAGACCCCCATCTCTTGCCATATACAAAAACCAAAAAAAATGAATTAAAGACTCAGATCTGAGGCTGGGCATGATAGGTCACACTTGTAATCCTAGCACTTTGGGAGGCCGAGGCAGGCAGATCATCTGAGGTCAGGAGTTCAAGACCAGCCTGGTCAACATGGTGAAACCTCGTTTCTACTAAAAACACAAAAAATTAGCCAGGGGTGGTGACAAATGCCTGTAATCCCAGCTGCATGGGAGCCTGAGGTGGGAGAATCACTTGAACCTGGGAGTTGGAGGTTGAAGTAAACAAAGAGATGGCATTTTCTATGCAGAATTCTGGCAAAAATATTCATAAGATCAGGATAATGGATAACAGGCATTCTAATATATTGTTAATAAGAGTAGAAATTGATGCAATCTTTCTGAAGGGCAATTTGTGTTTAAAAAAATTATTCTAATACTTCTTAAAACAGTAAGGAGACTTTATTCAAGGCTATTCCAAAAGGGATATCACAATAGGGGAGAGATTGGGTTCAAATCAGAATACAAGGACAAGTGGGGATTCATAGCCAAGAGCAAGGTGAGGCCAGGCATGGTGGCTCACGCCTGTAAACCCAACTCTTTGGGAGGCAAAGGGAGGTGGATCACGAGGTCAAGAGATCAAGACCATTCTGGCCAACAGGGTGAAACCTGTCTCTACTAAAAACAAACCCAAAGAAATTAGCTGGGCGTCGTGGTGGAGGCTGCAGTGAGCTGAGATTGCGCCACTGCGCTCCAGCCTGGTGACAGACTGAGACTCCATCTCAAGAGAAAAAAAAAAAAAGAGCAGGTGAAGGAGTCAGTGGATAGACAATTTCTAACAGTGAGACATCATGGGTAAGGAAACTCTTACTAAACTGACCTAACAGGATACTTATTAAAGGCAGGCCAGCCAGGTGACCAGCCTAGCCAACATGCAAAACCCTGTCTCTACTAAAAATACAAAAAAAAAAAAAAATTAGCCAGGCGCAGTGGTGCACGCCTGTAGTCCCAGCTGTTTGAGAGGCCGAGGCAGGAGAATCACCTGAACATGAGAAGCAGAGGTTGCGGTGAGCCAAGATCCCGCCACTGCACTCCAGCCTGGGAAACAGAGCAAGACTCCGTGAAATCAAAAAACTAAAAATTAAAAAAAAAAGGCCGGGCGTGGTGGCTCATGCCTGTAATCTAAGCACTTTGGAGGCCAAGGCGGGTGGGTCACCTGAGGTCGGGAGTTCAAGACCAGCCTGACCAACATGGTGAAACCCCGTTATTAAAAAAATAAATAAATAAATAAATAAAGGCAGGCCAAGGATTTGAACATCGAAGGTAGGAAATGAGGAATGTGATCAGATATCAAGGGTGATCAGACTATCAAGTGTGAGAAATTCTCTCTGAACTGATAGCAGGATTCTTTGCTAAGACTGGGCTGGGCAGGCCAAAGATGGGATGGGGCCAAGTTCCCTTCAGCCTAGCCAACATGCAAAACCCTGTCTCTACTAAAAATACAAAAACAAAAAAATTAGCCAGGCACAGTGGCGCATGCTGGGAGTCCCAGCTATTTGAGAGGCCGAGGCAGGAGAATCACCTGAACATGAGAAGCAGAGGTTTCAAGGAGAATCTCTGTCACTAATGTTTATCAAAATTAAAGGGCCAGGCACAGTGACTCATGCCTGTAATCCCAGTACTTTGGGAGGCCAAGAAGAGAAATCGCTTGACCCCAGGAAGTGACTCCATTTCTATCAAAAAAAAAAAAAAAAAAAAAAAAAAAAAAGGCCATGTATGATAGCATGGTAGCTCAATGTAGCATTCAACTGCTGGGCTTAAACAATCCTCCCACCTCAGCCCTGTTCCACCTTGGCTTTCAGTAGCTGAGACTACTACAGCTACACCACACATGGCATTTTTTTTTTTTTTTTTGTAGAGACAATGCCTTTTTTTTTTTTTTTTTTTTTTTTTTTTTTTTTGAGACAGAGTTTTGCTCTTATTACCCATTGCTGGAGTGCAATGGCATGATCTCGGCTCACTGCAACCTCCACCTCCTGGGTTCAAGCAATTCTCCTGCCTCAGCCTCCCGAGTAACTGGGACTACAGGCATACTCCACCATACACAGTTAATTTTTGTATAATGTAGAAATGGGGTTTTACCATGTTGACCAGGATGGTCTTGATCTCTTGACCTCACGATCTACCTGCCTCGGCCTCCCAAAGTGCTAGGATTATAGGCATGAGCCACCATGCCCAGCCTGAGACAATGTCTTACTATGTTGCCCAGGCTGGTCTGGAACTACTGGGCTCAAGTAATCCTCACACCTTGGCCTCCCAAAGTGCTGGAATTACAACTACGAGCCACTGTACCTGGCCAATAGTGATCAACTTTGGCAGGAGGCACTAGGAAACAGTAGCAGAAGGAAGTTTTTATTTTTCATTTCATACATTTCTAGGTATAGTATACTATACTTTCTAGGTATAGTATAGCTATCCCACTATACTGGAAATGAAACTTCTTTCCATATTATTTCAATTTCTTACTCTGGGCATATACTACACACCTATGCACAAAACAAATATAAAATACTTGGTTAGTTACATTTGAGTAGTCTGACTCATACCTTTGAGTGTTCTGAAAGAAAAGTTGGAAGAAGATAAACTTGTGCCAGTAACTCTGTGTAGTCACGACAGCGAAAATAATAAATATGGGAAAGAATATTTTCAAGAGTGAAATCCTCCAAAGCTTTTCGGTGTTCTGAAACAACAAAACAATCTTAATTAGTTTTACCTATTTGGATGTGCTGGCAATTGTAGGAAAACAATACTTTTTAATAACAAAATGTTCTCCTTTGGATAACAAAATTATTTAACTGAAAGATGACAAACTGTAGCAAAAATTACTATAAACTATCAGTTCATAATTCCTGATTTCTCTTAATTTTTTAGAGGTGAGGTCTCACTCTGATGCCCAGGCTGGAGCACTGTAGCAATCATAGCTCACTGCAATCTCCAACTCCTAGGCTCAAGGAATCCTCCTGCCGCAGCCTACCAAAGCACTGGGATTACAGGCATAAAACACTGTGCCTAGCCACTTGATTTTTTCTATTTTTTGAGATAAAGTCTCACTCTTGTCACCCAGGCTGGAGTGCAGTGGCATGATCTCCACACACTGCAACCTCTAGAGCCTCTGGGCTCAAGTGATTCATCTGCCTCAGCCTCTCGAGTAGCTGAGATTACAGGTGCTCACCACCATGCCTGGCTAATTTTTGTATTTTTAGTAGAGATGGAGTGTCAACATGTTGGCCAGGCTGGTCTCGAACTGCTGACCTCAGGTGATCCGCCTGCCTCAGCCTCCCAAAGTGCTGAAATTATAGGCATGAGCCACTGCACCAGGACGCCTTTTAACATTTCTAGTCACTGGCTTCATTGAGCAGAAGTAACATAATGAAGTTTTTCTTGTTTTTTTCCTCAGGACTACAAATTAAGTTAATGGCAGCCTGGGCAACGTGGCAAAATCCCACTATCTGCAAAAAATACAAAAATTAGGTGTGGTAGAGTGCAACTATAGTCTTAGCTACTTAGGAGGTTAAGGTAAGAGGATTGCTTGAGCCTGGGAGGTCAAGGCTATAGTAAGCTGTGATTGTGCCACTGGACTCCAACCTGGGTAACAGAATAAAACTCGGTCTCTTAAAAAAAAAAAAAGGTTAGCAGGCCAGGCATGGTGGCTCAAGCCTATAATCCCAGCACTTTGGGAGGCCAAGGCGGGTGGATCACGAGGTCAAGAGATCAAGACCATCCTGGTCAACATGGTGAAACCCCGTCTCTACTAAAAATACAAAAATTAGCTGGGCATGGTGGCGCACGCCTGTAGTCCCAGCTACTCAGGAGGCTGAGGCAGGAGAATTGCTTAAACCCAGGAGATGGAGGTTGCGGTGAGCCAAGATCGAGCCATTTATTCCAGCCTGGGTAACAAGAGCGAAACTCCGTCTGAAAAAAAAAAAAAAAAGTTAGCAAAATGTTCAAATGAAGCATTTTTTCTGTTGAATGCTATAGTATAATTTGATATTTAACTAGTGACAATTACTTAAAATCTTCCTTAGATTGGATGTTTAAAAAAAATAAAACAAAAAAAAAAAAAATTAGCTGGGCATGGTGGTGCCCGCCTGTACTTCCAGCTATTTTGTGGGCTGAAGTGAAAGGATCACCTGAGTCCAGGGAGATCAAAGCTGCAGTGAACTGTCATCATGCTACTGCATTGCAGCCTAGATGACAAAGTGAGGCACTGTTTCAAAAAAAGTAAAACATTAAAAATAAATAAAATGTTCTTAAATTTTAACACTGAAAAAACAATAGAAAACATAGCCTCTTGCAAACATGTACCTAACAGAGTCAATTTTTCACCACAACAATGACAATTTATTCTCATACCAATCATTAAAAACTTTGTATCTGGGCTGGTGGCTCACGCCTATAATTCCAGCACTTTGGGAGGCTGAGGTGGGTCGATCACAAGGTCAGAAGTTTAAAAAAACAAAAAACAAATAGTTTGAGGCTGGGCGTGGGGGTCTCATGCCTATAATTCCAGTACTTTAGGAGGCCAAGGTAGGTGAATCACTAGGTCAGGAGTTTGAGACCAGCCTGGTCAACATGGTAAAATCCCCTTTCTACTAAAGATACAAAAAAACCAGCCAGGCATGGTGGCAGACACCTGTAATCTCAGCTACTTGGGAGGCTGAGGCAGGAGAATGGCTTGAACCCAGGAAGCAGAAATTGCAGTGAGCCAAGATCGTGCCATTGCATGCCAGCCTGGGTGACAGAGTGAGACTGTCTCAAAAAAAAAAAAAAAAAAAAAAAAAAACAACTTTACATCTGAGTGCTACACCCACTCTATTTACAGTAAGATTTTAAGACACTATTACAAAATCACGCATTGTAGCATAGGTAGCCTTAAGGTATAAGGGAGGAAAAATCTTTTTTTTCTGCTACACTCTTAGGCTTCTTGGCTGAAGCCCTATAAATTGGACTGGTAAAAACAGATTAACAAGAGAAAAAGAGTTTATTAACTGTGCACAGTGCCTGTAACACAGGGGAGTCCAGAGAGTAGTAACTCAAAAGTGGTTAGATTTGGGGCCGGGCATAGCAGTTCACACCTATAATCCCAGTACTTAGGGAAGCCGAGGTAGAATAACTTGAAGTAAGAAGTTTGAGACCAAAAAAAGAAGAAGTTTGAAACCAGTCTGACCAACACAGTGAACTCTGTCTCTACTAAAAATACAAAAATTAGCTAGGTATGGTGGCATGCGCCTGTATTCCCGGCTCGCAGCTACTCCGGAGGCTGAGGCAGGAAAATTGCTTGAACCTGGGAGGTGGAGACTGCAGTGAGTCAAGACTGCAACACTGCACTGCAGCCTGGGCAGCAGAGCCAGATTCTGTCTCAAAAATAAATAAATAAAATAAAGATTTAGGCTTATCTTCCCGAAGGTACAATAAATTTTTAGAGAAGTAACAAGACAAAGGAAAAGGACCATGAGTCTCTAATGGCAGCAAATATTGTGGTAAGGCAAATACATGGGAAACTAATTGGAGATAAAGAATAGCTAGTAAACTTTGAAATGTAGGCTTATAAGGGTCTAAAGCTGTCTGTGATGATGAACTTTTGTCTTCCTGGTAAAAGAGGGAAGATGGGGCTCTTTTGTACATTTATGCCCTATTTTTAGAAAAATAAAGGAAGGGGCTGGGCACGGTGGCTCATGCCTGTATCTCAGCACTTTGGGAGGCCAAGGCGGGCAGATTACCTGAGGTCAGGAATTAGAGACCAGCCTGGCCAACATGGCAAAACCCCACCTCTACTAAAAGTACAAAAATTAGCCAGGCATGGTGGTAGGTGCCTATAATCCTACTCAGTAGGCTGAGGCAGGAGAACTGCTTGCACCTGGGTGGCGGAGGTTGCAGTGAGCCAAGATTGCGCCACTGCATTCCAGCCTGGGTGACAAGAGTGAGACTCCGTCTCAAAAAAAAACTTTGAGGAAGGGCAGAGTTCCTTTATCTGTTTCTTCTCAATTGCCTTCAGCTCAAAAAAATCCTTATGCCAAACTGGCATATTTTGGGGTGGCATATCCTGCCAGTGCCCAAAAGTCTTTCAGTAAGCATGTCAATCAACAGCTAAATGGAATACTTAGAACCTCCATGAAAAAGAAAATGCAGCTGACTAAGCTGACTACACTCATTTAAAGGAAATAGACAAAGAAAATCTTATGAAAAGCATCATGTTTTAAAAAAACTTCTAGAGGAAGGAATAAAGACCTCACACATCCAAAAAATTAATAAAACAAAGCAAAAGAAAATAGTCAATCAGGCTGGGCACGGTGGCTCACACCTGTAATCTCAGCACTTTGGGAGGCCAAGATGAGTGGATCACAAGGTCAGGAGTTCGAGACCAGCCTGGCCAGCATGGTGAAACTCCATCTCTACTAAAAACACAAATTAGCTGGGCATGATGGTGCCCACCCGTAGTCCCAGCTACTCAGGAGGCTGAGGCAGGAGAATTGCTTCAACCAGGCAGGCGGAGGTTGCAGTGAGCCAAGATTGCACCACTGCACTCTAGCCTGGGCGACAGAGCAAGACTCCATCAAAAAAAAAAAAAAAAAAGAAAGAAAGAAAAGAAAGAAAGAAAGAAAGAAAAAAGAAAACAGTCAATCTATAAGCCATTTAATTTATAAGTAATTGAAAGAATAAGGACTTGAATATAAATTAGCTTTCAAAAAACTGTTTTAGGCCAGGCTCATGCCTGTAATCCCAGCACTTTGGGAGGTCAAGCAAGATTCTGTCTCAAAAAACCGAAAAAATTGTTTTATAGCCACTTTATTGTCACCTAACAAGCACCAAAGATACCTGCCAAACACTTTAAAACTCAGTGCAGTTGGCCAGGGCGCAGTGGCTCACGCCTGTAATCTCAGCACTTTGGGAGGCCGAGGTGGGTGGATTACTGGCAGTCAGGAGTTCAACACCAGCATGGCCGACATGGTGAAACCCCATCTCTGTCTCCAAAAAAAAAAAAAAAAAAAAAAAGTTAAAAAAAATTAGTGTAGTCATGAAATCAGCTATATACTAACCAAAGCCCCATGTCTATCTGCTTAATAATCCAAACATTTCAGACATAATTTTCTTTTTTGTTGTTGTTTTTAAGAGACAGTCTTACTCTGTCACCTAGGCTGGAGTGCATCAGCACAATCTGGGCTTAGGGTAACCTCTGCCTCCTGAGTTCAAGTGATTCTCCTGCCTCAGCCTCCTGAGTAACTGAGATTATAGGCATGTACCACCATACCTCGCTAATTTTTGTATTTTTAATAGAGACAGGGTTTCATCATGTTGGTTAGGCTGGTCTCGAACTCATGACCTCAGGTGATCCACCCACCTCGGCATCCCAAAGTGCTGGGATCACAGGCATGAGCTGCTGCACTTGGCCTCAGACCTGGTTTTCAAAGCTACCTTTGGTTTTTGGAAAACCAACATGGAAATTATTATACATTGAATATATTTAACAACAGTTACTTATATTAAGGTGTCCAAAAACATTAACTTATACCTAATAAGATGGACTATGATGACTGAAATACATACATAGGTTTTGTCCCAAAGCTTCTACAGTAAGAAGTGAGGGCCATAAATGGGAAGGAAAAAAAAGCCAGTCCAGGCTGTGGCATTTCTCATTTTATAAGAGTAGTAGCAGAGTTTAACACTAGTTCATTGTCAAGTCATTAGGCTTCATATTCTAAATGATCTGTTGCGGAGGTATGAGATGGGCACAAATGCAAATTACTAATACAGAAAATGCAAATTATTAATAGAGAAAAAAGGAGGATCATTTGCTAACTTACCCTCTCCCTTGTGTTTTTCTGCTATAAGATGAAGGTGCTGAATGCAGGCAGTAGCAAGGTCTACCACTCTATCAACCATAAAACTTCCCTCTGTATCGATAAAAACTGCTTCACCTGCCACTCCTCCAAAACATTCTGGTATCTGCACATCTACTGCCAACTGCATACTGTTAAGAGAAAGATGGCAAATAACTAAATCATCATGATCATCTAAGGCAGTATATTTGAAACTCCAAATAATGACAAGTTAGGTATCACTAAAGTTTTATAAATGTAAATATACTCCCAAGGCAACAGAAATGTCTAACTCTTCATTGCTCCAGATGTAAGTGAACCAATTGACTATATGTGAATCAACTGGACTGGGGGGAGGGCATGTCTATAAAATCAAGATTAAGGATATTTTAATGATTTCCAGGCCTCTAGAAATGGAGCACCTTATTATACATAAATCTACTTTCTATTTTTGCTTTTTTTTGAGACAGAGTCTCACTCTGTCACCCAAGCTGGAGTGCAGTGGCATGATCTCAGCTCAATGCAACCTCCATGCCACATTTCCTTGCCTCCACCATGGCCTGTTGGGTGAAGCCTCAGAGTCATTAACAGGAATGATCTCGAGTGGGTGTAGTGACAGTAACAAGCACACACTGGCCAGTTACCTTTTTTTTTGGTATGAAAAACTCAGGCAACAATCATTTAGATTAGTCTGCACGCTCATTGTAGAGCTGCAGCCTTTTGGCTCTTCTCACTGGCCGTCCCCCTTTTGTAATCTCCCTCACTTTTCAGGCCCTGGCAAGGGATTGTAGGCCAGCCCCCAGTGGCCCCTGGGAGACATCAGTCCCCATTTCCCACACCCACCCATGCCTTCCCGGGAGCTGAGTCTTGGGCATGAAGGTTTCTGAGACTGCTATCTCTTCATGGCCTGCCTAGCTTAAGAACTAGCTGGAAAAGTAGGCAACTAATGTTCCCATTAGTGGGTCTCGGCTCCTGGGGTCCTGAGAGGGAGGAGCTGGGCTAAACAAGAGCTCCTTTTGTGGTTCCCAGGTTCAAGCCATTATCCTGCCTCAGCCTCCTGAGTAGCTGGGACTATGTGTCACCATGCCTGGCTAATTTTTTTGTATTTTTAGCAGAGATAGGGTTTCGCCACGTTGGCCAGGCTGGTCTCGAACTTTTGACCTCAGTGATCTGCCCGCCTCAGGTTCCCAAAGTGCTGGGATTATCGGCGTGAGCAACAGCGCCTGGCCTTTTTTCTTTTTGAACATAGGGGTCTCACTCTGCTGCCCAGACAGGAATGCAGTGGCGCAATCAAGGCTCACTGCAGTTTTGACCTCCCGGGCTCAAGCAATCCTCCTGCCTCAGCCTCCCAAATAGCTAGGACCACAAGCATGTGCCACCACACCCAGCTAATTTTTCATTTTTAGTAGAAATGAGGTCTCAGTTTCCCAGGCGGGCCTCAAACTCCTGGGCTCAAGTGATCCTCCTCCCTCAACCTCCCAAAGTGCTGGGATTATAGGAATGAGCCACTGCACCTAGCCATAAATCTACTTTCAAACATCTGACTTTCAAACACAGTCTCAGGAATGAATAATGCAGAAACTTCCTGTTTAACCTTATGACTACATTACAATTTGCAAAAGAAACATTTTTTCATATCAAAATAATTGCATCAATTTATCAAGAAGAGATGCTAAAGTAACACAAATAGTAAGTTAATTTTTGTTTGATGCACAGACACACTTAAAATTAAGAGCACATATATACCTTACTTGGTTTCCTGACTATAAACCCACAGTACAAAATATTACTTTCATAACATGTTATTAAACCCGCCCTTAAAAGGAGAACATTTTATTTTACCATAATTGTGTTTTTCCAATGCCTGGTGCACCACAAATTTCTGTTGTTTTCATTAAGGGTACTCCACCCCCAAGAATATTATCTAGTGCTGAACAGAAGGTAATTATGGAGCCCTGGGTATGCTCCTGCTCAAGAAGTTCCAGTGCTGTACACTTCTTGCCTGACTCAGATGTACCAGCATATCTTGGTTTATTTGTGAGACATTCTCTTCTTAGGATTTGCAGAGTTTCTAAGGCTTCCTCTTTAGATATCCCAACTTCTGAAAATAAAATAAGAAAAAAAGAACCCTAATTTTAGAGATTTAAAACAGTGTAACATGATAATGGATTGTCTTGATTAATTTTAATTTTTAGACAAGAGTGATGCTAAGAGTAGAGAAAGATAAAAATGTAACATTCTATCAACCATTTAATTTTTCAGTTTGGCTGGACCCTGTGGCTCACACCTGTAATCCCAGCACTTTGGGAGGCCAAGGTGGGCAGATCACGAGGTCTGAAGTTCAAGACCACCCTAGCCAATGTGGTGAAACCCCATCTCTACTAAAAATACAAAAATTAGCAGACGCCTGTAATCCCAGCACACGCCTGTAATTCCCCGGGAGGCTGAGGAAGGGAGAATCTCTTGTGTGCCTGTAATCTCAGCTACTCAAGGAGACTGAGGCAGCAGAATTGCTTGAACCCGGGAGGTGGAGGTTGCACTGAGCTGAGATCGCACCATTGCACTCCAGCCTGGGTAATAGAGTGAGACTCTAATTCAAAAAAAAAAAAAAAAAAAAAAAAGGCCGGGCGCGGTGGCTCAAGCCTGTAATCCCAGCACTTTGGGAGGCCGAGGCGGGTGGATCACGAGGTTAAGAGATCGAGACCATCCTGGTCAACATGGTGAAACCCCGTCTCTATTAAAAATACAAAAAATTAGCTGGGCATGGTGGTGCGTGCCTGTAATCCCAGCTACTCAGGAGGCTGAGGCAGGAGAATTGCTTGAACCCAGGAGGCGGAGGTTGCGGTGAGCCGAGATCGCGCCATTGCACTCCAGCCTGGGTAACAAGAGCGAAACTCCGTCTCAAAAAAAAAAAAATTCAGATTAATAAAGGAATTTGTTTTCTTAGTCAACACTTAAAGATTTTCCTATTATCTCAGAAATGTTTCAACGAAAACATTTCTGAGTATGTACAAGAATGTCTCAGGAAGCACAAATAAAAATGTACTCGCTATTTTTTTTTTTCAGTTATCATTAGTTTATTATAAAAGAGAGATATGGAAATTATTTACATGATGAAAGATTTCAGAACTTCAGTGGAATGGGCAGCTTCACATTGATGCCATTTCAATAGAGACTTATTTCAGTCTACGTACTTTCCAAGAATGTCACCATCTCTAAATAGGAAATAATCCTTGTCATCTAGAACTACTTTGGTGCCTCCATATTCTGGGAGAAGAACTTTATCTCCAACTTTCACGCTAACTGGTTGAATCTCTCCACCCTTTCCTTTAGAACCCGATCCAACAGCGACTACAGTTGCTTGCAATACTTTTCCTTGAGATTTTTCTGGAAGCATAATGCCTCCTTTGGTTACAGTTTCAGCAGCACTCCTTTCAACCAATACTCGGTCAAAGAGTGGGAGAAACTTTCTAAACGCCTGTCCTGCCATGACTCCCTCAGCCTCAGACTCGTACTCTGCTCTGGCGCACCGCGGCAAAGAGAGACCCGCGATACTGCCCTCCCGACACGTGAAAAGGCCGCCCCCAGCGCGCAGGCGCCCTCGCCCCGGCCCCCCTTTTTTTCTTTTTTTTGAGACAGTGTTTAGCTCTTATTGTCTAGGCGTTATCTCGGCCCACTGCAACCTCCGCCTCCTAAGTTCAAGCAACTCTCCCGCCTCAGCCTCCCAAGGAGCTGGGATTACAGACAGGCATGCACCAGCACGCCTGGCTAATTTTTTGTATTTTTAGTAGAGAGGGGGTTTCTCCATGTTGGCCAGACTGGTCTCTAACTCCTGACCTCAGGTGATCCACCCACCTTGGCCTCCCAAAGTGCTGGGATTACAGGCGTGAGCCACCGCGCCTGGGCTTGCTTGCTTTCTTTTTTGAGACAGAGTCTCCCTCTGTCGCCCAGGCTGGAGTGCAATGGCTCCATCTCAGCTCACTGCAACCTCCACCTCCCAGGTTCAAGCAATTCTCCTGCCTCAGTCTCCTTGACTAGCTGGGATTACAGGCGCGCACCACCACGCCCAGCTAATTTTTGTATTTTTAGTAGAGACGGGGTTTCACCGTGTTGGTCAGGCTGGTCTCCAACGCCTGACCTTGTCGTTTGCCCACCTCCGCCTCCCAAACTGCTGGTATCACAGGCATGAGCCACTGCACCCAGCCAAAATGTACTCACTATTAGCACATTTTTACTATCTCTTTTGGTCTTAATTATCTCGTACTCATAAAGTATACAAATTATTTTTCAGATGAGAATGGAAAATTCTCATTTTTTGACTGCCTGAAATAAGGTACGACTTTAAGAAGCACATATGCATGTATTATTTACAATAAAAAGTTTTCATGGAAATAACTGATGTAAAAAAATTCATATATCACTCCAAACTAATGAGAATAATTATCCAATGCACAAGTATTTTAAAGAATTCACTTATGCTCCCTTGACTACGTAATTTCACCCGTCTGACAGTATGGCCTGAGAAGAGAAAATGGCAGTTACAAAACAAGCTGGCTGAAGAAATAATGGTGAAGATGACATCACTTATCAGTTTAATATATTGGTGCTTGATCTGAGAAGAATATAAATCATAAATATGGGGCTAATAAAAGACAACGGTGATGACAACATTTAGGAAATAAAAATCTTATCCAGTTCAAGAGCATGAATGCTGGAATCAGATTGCCTGGCTTTGTAAATTCTGACACCACTTATGGTGTGACTTTAGGCAAGTTACTTGACTTCTTTTTGCTGAAATTTTTTCTTCTATACAACAGGAATGGGGAGAGAGATCCAAGATAGCCGATTACTAGCAGCTCAGGATTGTAGCACCCAGTGAAAGCGCAGAGAACGAGAGGATGCCACACTTTCAGACGAATTTTTGTTGCTCACGGACTAGGAGATTCCCAGCGGAGAAGCCCCACGGGTCGCCAGCGTGACTCCTGTGGCTGGCGCGGTGGTTTTGCTGGCGCCCGGCGGGAGAGTTCTCGGTGCAGAGTAAACGGGACTGGATGCCCTTTTGGTCGACGTTTGGAGCTCTCGGAAGGCGGAGTCGCCCGTTCAGCTGATTGAAAAAGGGACTCAAGAGGGAAGCCAGACCGGAGCTTTCCGGGCAGAAAAGCATTAAGAATCTTAACACTGCTGTTTTAGCCAGCGCAGTGGGTTGCTCAGATTTTGACACTGGGAATCAACAAGGTGGACATCCACTCAGAGACCTAATTTGAAAGTCGATAATTACAAAGACGACAGGTGGATAAATTTACAATGACGGGAAGAAACCAGTGTCAAAAGGCTGAGAATACTCAAAATTGGAATGCCTCTCCCTCTACAGGGGATCACAGTTCCTCATCAACAAGGAAACAAGGCCTCATGGAGAATGAGTGCGTTCCAATAAAAGAATTAGGCTTCAGAAGGTGGATAATAAGAAACTTCTGTGAGTTAAAAGAACATGTTCTAGCCCAATGTAAAGAAACTAAGAAGGCTGAAAAAAGGTTTGACGAAATCCTAAGGAGAATAGACAATTTAGAAAGGAATATAAGTGAATTAATGGAACTGAAGAATACAATATGAGAACGCTGCGAAGTATGCACAGGTTTAAACAGCTGAATTGATCAAGCAGAAGAAAGGATATCAGAGGTTGAAGACCAACTTAATGAAATGAAAAGAGAAGACAAGATTAGAGAAGAAAAAGTAAAAAGGAATGAGCAAAGTCTCCAAGAAATACGGGACTATGTGAAAAGACCTAATTTACATTTGGTAGGTGTACCTGAATGTCATGAAGAGAATGAATCCAAGCTGGAAAATATTCTTCAGGACATTATTCAGGAAAACTTTCCTAACCTAGTAAGGCAGGACAATACTCAACTTCAGGTAATACAGAGAACATCACAAAGATATTCCTCAAGAACAGCAACCCCAAGACACATAATCTTCAGATATACCAGAGTTGAAATAAAGGAGAAAATTCTAACTGGCAGCTAGAGAGAAAGGTCAGGTTACCCATAAAGGGAAGACTATCAGACTCACAGCAGATCTCTTAGCAGAAACCGTACAAACTAGAAGAGAGTGGGGGTCAATATTTAATATCCTCAAAGAAAAGAATTTTCAACCCAGAATCTCATATCCAGCCAAACTAAGCTTCATAAATGAAGGAAAAATAAAATTTTTTGCAAACAAGCAAGCACTCAGAGATTTCAGCACCACCAGGCCTGCTTTACAAGAGCTTCTTAAAAAAGCACTACACACAGAAAGGAACAACCAGTATCAGTCATCCCAAAAACTTATGAAAAGGTAAAGAATATCTTCATAATGAAGAATCTGTATCAACTAATGGGCAAAATAGTCAGCTAGCATTAAATGACAATATTAAACTCACAAATATCAATATTAATCCTAAATTTAAATGGATTAAACGCCCCAAAGACACAGACATGCAAATTGAATAAAAAGTCAACAAATTGAATAAAAAGTCAAAATCCATTGGTATGCTGTATCCAGATCCATCTCATAAGCAAGCACACACCAATCAAATGGAGAGCAAAACAAAAAAACCAGGAGTTGTAACTTTCATCTCTGACAAAATAGACTTTAATAGTAACAAAGACTAAAAGAAACAAAGAAAGGCCGGGCACGGTGGCTCAAACCTGTAATCCCAGCACTTTGGGAGGCCGAGGCAGGTGGATCACGAGGTCAAGAGATCGAGACCATCCTAGTCAACATGGTGAAACCCCATCTCTCCTAAAAATACAAAAAATTAGCTGGGCATGGTGATGCACGCCTGTAATCCCAGCTACTCAGGAGGCTGAGGCAGGAGAATTGCCTGAACCCAGGAGGCGGAGGTTGTGGTGAGCCGAGATCGCGCCATTGCACTCCAGCCTGGGTAACGAGCAAAACTCCCTCTCAAAAAAAAAAAAAAAAAAAAAAAAGAAACAAAGAAGGACATTACATAATGGTAAAAGGATCAATGTAACAACAGGAGTCAATGATCATAAATACATATGCACCCAATATAGGAGCACCCAGATACATAAGACAAGTTCTTAATGACTTATAAAGAGACTTGGACTCCTGCACAATAGTGGGAGACTTTGACACCACATTGTTAATATTCGACGGATCAACCGGATAGAAGATTAACAGGGACATTTATGATTTGAACTCAGCCCTGGAACAAGTAAACTCAGTGAATATTTATAGAATTCTTCACCCCAGGTCCACAGAACATACATTTTTTTCAGTATCACATTACACCTATTTTGAAAGTGACCACATAAATGGAAGTAAATCACTCTTCAGCATTTCACAGGTTTAAATGAAATATTGGTTGGCTGTTTGTTATTTTCTTCCCTTATTCCTTCCTGTTTCCGCCGTTAAGTACAATTATCAGCATAAAAGAGGTTTTTAATACCTATTTTTAGATTGCATTCCAGCCTGGGCAATAGAGCAAGACTCCTGTTCTCTCTCCCCCTTTCTCTTCCTTTCTTTCATAAAAAACAAAAAACAAAAAAAAACAGGAATCAGACAATACATGTAAAAAGCTTGGTAGAATATCAAGGCCATCTAAAATGGTCAATAGTTGTTACTGATTATTATTATTCAGAGTCTCACATTTCTTCTTTGAAAAACCAACTTGTCAGGCCGGGCGCGGTGGCTCAAGCCTGTAATCCCAGCACTTTGGGAGGCCGAGGCGGGTGGATCACGAGGTCAAGAGATCGAGACCATCCTGGTCAACATGGTGAAACCCCGTCTCCACTAAAAATACAAAAAAGTGGCTGGGCATGGTGGCGCGTGCCTGTAATCCCAGCTACTCAGGAGGCTGAGGCAGGAGAATTGCCTGAACCCGGGAGGCGGAGGTTGCGGTGAGCCGAGATCGCGCCATTGCACTCCAGCCTGGGCAACAAGAGTGAAACTCCAATCTCGGGGGGGAAAAAAAAACTTGTTGAAGAAAAAGGAGCCCATCAAATTTTGGGGGACACAGTCTGCGTGCGGTATGACTTAAACAGTTCAGGTTGGGTCTACGAGACTTTTTTTTTTTTCTTTTTTGAGACAGTCTCGCTCTGTCGTCCAGGCTGGGGAGCAGTGGCGCGATCTCGGCTCACTGTAACCTCCACTTCCCACTTTGAAGCGATTCTCCTGCCTCAGCCTCCCAAGCAGCTGGGACTACAGGCGCCTGCCACCACACCCAGCTAATTTTTGTATTTTTAAGAGACGGGGGTTTCACCATATTGACCAGGCTGGTCTCGAACTCCTGACCTGTGATCCGTCCACCTCGGCCTCCCAAAGTGCTGGGATTACAGGCGTGAGCCACTGCGCCCGGCCAAGACATTCTTTAGAGGCGAATTGAAACCTCTGTATTTTCCATCGTCAAGGGCAATAATGAATAGCACAGGTCTGAGCATATCACAGTGTAATGTGCACAAAGAGTGACCACCGCCAGCTTCATATTTGTATACCTCAGGATGCAGTGGTTCCCACCAATGTATAATCTGCAGTGCTCCGGAATATGAGGTTTTGGGTGTTTTGGTGAATTACGTAAGAGGAGAACATCCTTTCTATTGCTTCCTTAAGATTCCAGGGATTCTAACTCCCTTTCTCATTCTTAGTGCCTCCAGTCCTACACAAATCCTGCATTTCTGAAATTTAACCCTTACCCCTTGGATCTTGGAACAGCAAAAATTAGATAACCAATTGTGACTCCACTATTTCCTAACCTAGTTATCATGAAAAGTTATCTGACCTCCCCAAGACATAAGTTCTCTCTCTCGTCCATATACTGAACATAATAATCGACCTAAGCAGGTTATCTGAGGGTTAAATGAGACAATCCTCAAAACATGGAGCAGGCATTGCCAGAGGAACAGCAGTTAGTAAATGTTTTCACGACCACAGTTCTCCTAACCATTCAGACAACTTGTAAGTGGAGTCGAGGAGCTGTTTGACGTTGTAAACGCGGCCGAGGCAGCAGAATCTGACGGAGACTGGGCTGAAGCCCAAGGCGGGAGGACCGAGACCGCAGCGGCACTGACGGCGGCCGGTGTGCCTCAGCTCGCCATCGGGAATCGTTACCTTTGCTAAGCTCGGAGGGTTTCACCTCCAGGAGTTCCTCAGCAGTCTGGAAACCCGCAGACACCAACTTCGCCCGCACCGCTGGAGACAGCGGGAAACTCAGCAAATCCCGCTGCATTTCAAAGCGGAACGTCCTCCCGCGCAGTCGCACAGGTTCACCCGCCAACCTCGGAGCAGCCACGCTCCGCCCGCCCCCGCCGGAGCGTACGCCGTGACGTCAGACGTAAAGTGGAAGGGGCTGGCCACGCGGCCGTGAGCCTGGCAGTTCGGCGCAGGCTTGTATATTTTCACACTTGGGCACCATTCCGCTGTAATTCCCCTAAGTCCCTTTTAGAGATTCCCCTGGCCGGGCGCGGTGGCTCGTGCCTGTCATCCCAGCACTTTGGGAGGCCGACGCGGGTGTTTCACGAGGTCAGAAGATCGAGACCATCTTGGTCAACATGCTGAAACCTTGTCTCCGCTAAAATACAAGAAACTAGCCGGGCGTGGTGGCGCACGCCTGTAGTCCCAGCTACTCGCGAGGCTGAAGCAGAGGAATCGCTTGAACCTGGGAGGCGCAGGCTGAAGTGAGCGGAGATGGCTCCACTGCATTCCAGCCTGGCGACAGAGCAAGACTATGTCTCAAAAAACATAATAATAAATAAATAAAAAGAGATTCTCTATCAAATGTACACCCTGACTGTAAAACAATGGACGTAGACCTTAGGATAGAGAGCCAGGCCCAGTGGGTTTTCCACGCCACATTTCCTCGCCTCCACTGTGGCCTGTTAGGTGAAGCCGCAGTCATTAATGGGAATGATCTTGAGTGGGAGCATTGAGAGTAATGAACACACACTGGCCGGTGACCATTTTTTTTTTTTGGTGTGAAAAGCTCAGGGAATAATCGTATTAGGATTAATCTGTGTGCGCATTGTCGAATTGCAGTCACTTGGCTCCTCCCGCTGACCGTCCCCCTTTCCTGACCGCCTTGCTTTTCCCGCCCTCGCAAGGGATTGTGGGTCAGCCCCCAACTGCCGCCGCTGGGAGAGGTGAGTCCTCATTCCCCGCACCCGCCAACGCCTCTCTGTGAGTCGAGTCTCGAGCATGGTGGTTTCTGAGACAGTTATTTCTTCATGGCCTGCCTAGCTTACGAAGTAGCTGGAAAAGTAAGCAACTCATGTCTCCATGTTTGGGTCTGGGGTCCTGAGAGGGAGGCGCGGGGCTACACAAGAGCTCCTTTTGTGGTACAGAGTTGGGAAGGGGCGTTCAAGCCGTGGTAGGGACCGCTTCCAAATGAATGAACTTTGCGGAGAAAGGGAAGCAGCTTAGAAGGTGGTTTATGAGATCTTTCCTTGCCTAGGTGAGTGTGACTTATTTAAGGGGGTGTAACTTATTCCCTATCTATGGGCGATGATTCTTTGTCTTGACTTTTCTTTCCAGCTTAGAAGAACTTCCCCAATATTGCAAATCAGAGCCCTCTACATACTTAGATCTAAAAAAGAAAAAGGAAAAAAATGTATGTTGAGCACTTTAGCAAATCCCACGCATTTCACATGGCCATAGTTATGCCAGAAGGAAGATAATGACATAGAGGCTCAGCATGTAGTTTAATATCAATTCTGATAAAAGAAAAAAGGCTGGCCGGGTGCAGTGGCTCACACCTGTAATCCCAGCACTTTGGGAAGCGAAGGCAGGCAGATCTCCTTGAGCCCATGCATTTGAGACCAGCCTCGACAACATGGCGAAAACCCGTCTCTACCAAAAATATAAAAGATTAGCCGGGAGTGGTGGCGTGCACCGATGGTCCCAGCTACTTGGGATTCTTCTTCCTCAGCCTCCTGAGTAGCTGGGATTACAGGCGGCCACCACCACACCCGGCTAACTTTTCGTATTTTTAGTAGAGACAGGGTTTCACTATGTTGGCCAGGCTAGTCTCAACCTCCTGAGCTCGTGATCTGCCCTCCTTGGCCTCCCAAAGTGCTGAGATTACAGGTGTGAGCCACCTTGCCCAGCCTTCATCATCATTGTTTTTTTTTGTTGTTTTGTTTTTGTTTTTGTTTTTTTTGAGACGGAGTTTCACTCTTGTTACCCAGGCTAGAGTGCAATGGCGCGATCTCGGCTCACCGCAACCTCCGCCTCCTGGGTTCAAGCAATTCTCCTGCCTCAGCCTCCTGAGTAGCTGGGATTACAGGCACGCGCCACCATGCCCAGCTCATTTTTTGTATTTTTAGTAGAGATGGGGTTTCACCATGTTGACCAGGATGGTCTCAATCTCTTGACTTCGTGATCCTCCCGCCTCGGCCTCCCAAAGTGCTGGGATTTACAGGCGTAAGCCACTGTGCCCGGCCCTCATCATTCTTAAAATGACTTTAGGCTGGGCATGGTGGCTCACACCTGTAATCCTAGCACTTTGGGAGGCCGAGGCGGGTGGATCACGTGGTCAGGAGTTTAAGACCAGCATGGCCAAGATGGTGAAACCCTGTCTCTACCAAAAATATAAAAATTAGCCAGGCGTGGTGGTGGGTACTTGTAATCCCAGCTACATGGGAGGCTGGGGCAGAGAATTGCTTGAACCTGGGAGGTGGAGGTTGCAGTGAGTTGAGATTGTGCCACTGCACTCCAGCCTAGGTGACAGAGCGACACTTTGTCTCAAAAAAAAAAAAAAAAAGTCTTTAATGCAGTTTTCTCTGTAGTCATGCTTTCAATCTGGGATCCAGGTTTTTGAAGCCAGGCACTAGGAACTAAACAAAGCTATGGGATAAATATGGAAGGTACACCTTCTTGTATTACCACTTTTTTTTTTTTTTTTTCAAAAAAGATTTTTAGAGAGGTAAGAGTTAAATTATTTACTCGGTAAGTCATTTGAAATGGCTTACATTTAAACACACATTGCATCTGTGTAATGTGGGTAAATCATTTAAAATTTTGAAAAAGATACCATGTAAGACATGCCTTTGTTCCTCCTTAAAATTTTTTTTTTGGAAAAAGAAAATAAACACTAATAAAATGTGTGTTAGGCCGGGCTCAGTGGCTCACACCTGTAATCCCTGCACTTTGGGAGGCTCAGGGGGTCGGATCACGAGGTAAAGAGATCAAAACCATCCAGACCAACATGGTGAAACACTCTACTAAAAATACAGAATTAGCTGGGCTTGGTGGCGCTCACTTGTAGTCTCAGCTACTCAGGAGGCTGAGGCAGGTTCAATCGCTTAAACCCAGGAGGCAGAGGTTGCAGTGAGCTGAGATTGTGCCACTGCACTCCAGCCTGGTGACATAGTAAGGCTCTGTCTCTAATTAATTAATTAATTAATTAAAAGTGGGGTAAAATGCAAATATAAAAATACATTTTAAGAGAAAAACATGAGGTCAGACACACATCAGGCTTAAATAGGATAGTTCAATAACCTCCCAAACTGCCCTGGGAATATGTTTTGGTTTTTCTTGCAATTTAAGGTTACTTCATGAAAAAATTTGAGGGACATTGCTATGGGCAAACCAGGATGGGCTACTGTGGAATCATACAGATTTGGATTTGTATCACATGTCTGGAAGTTACCAACTATGTGACCTTCAGCAAGTTACTCAGTCTCCTCATCTGCAAGTAGAAGAGAATATCTTCTGGGGTTTTGCGCAAGGTTAAATTAACACATATACAGTACTTATCACACACACACAAAAAAGGTACATAATAAATCTGAGTCTGTTTCTCCATTTTTACAGTATCCTAATGTGCATGTTCACTTGGAATAAGTCCTTATAGAATACCTAGCTCAGCAGAATGCTGATGCTGAAACATTTTTTTAAAATGTCTACAATTGGGCCAGACACAGTGGCTCATACCTGTAATCCCAGCACTTTAGGAGTCTGAGATCGGAGGATCACTTGAGGTCAGGAGTTCAAGACCAGCCAGGACAACGTGGTAAAACCCCATTTCTACTAAAAGTACAAGATTAACTCAGGGTGGTAAAGGGTGCCTGTTATCCCAGCTACTTGGAAGGCTGAGGCAGGAGAACCACTGGAACATGGGAGGCAGAGATTGCAGTGAGCTGATATCACCACACTGTACTCCAGCCTGGGTGACAAGAGGAAAACAAGACAAAACAAAACAAGTCTGCAATTGTAAAAGTGCCAAAGTAAAGTGCTTTTACATATTTTATTTTCTTTGACTTGGTCCTTACAGTAATCCTATGACTGGGGTCTCCGTTCAGGATTAGCACGCTGAAGATTGGCTCACTAAAACAAAATTAAATATTTGTTAAATGCAAGTTATGTGTCAGACGACAGGGTAAACAAGACAGATTATCTGCCCTTATGGAGCTTATAATCCATCAGCATCTTTTTTGAGTATTTCTGACATTTTGTGTTTCTGACTTGTGTAGCTATCTTGATATAATACTAAAAGTAGGAAGGAGCTATTACTGTCAATAGCTATAGTTAACCTGTTAGAGTATTCCAGTAATGAGGCATTTTCAGGTTGACTGGGCTGTTTTCTGGAGATGTATGAGAGGTATAATATGAACACTTTTCTTAGAGCTGGGGAAGTTTATTTTCTTTTAGCCTAAGAACATAGAACTTTAAAAAATGGTGACCACGACCGTGTGTGGTTGCTCATGCCTGTAATCCCAGCACTTTGGGAGGCTGAGATGGGTGGATCACTTGAGGTCAGGAGTTCCAAGACCAATCTGGCCAACATGGTGAAACACTGTCTCTACTAAAAATGCAAAAATTAGACAGGCATGGTGGCAGACATCTGTAATCCCAGCTTCGGGAGGCTAAGGCAGGAGAATTGCTTGAACCTCAGAGACAGAGGTTGCTGTGAGCTGAGATCCCACCCCTGCACTCCAGTCTGGGTGATTGGGTGAGACTGCATCTCAAAAAAAAAAAAAAAAAAAAAAAAAAAAACCCTAACCTTTCATGTTCAAGTTGATTTGGGAATGGAGAAAGAAGTTTAAGTGTTGTTTGGACTGAGGGGAAAAAAAAAAACCTCTGAATCAAGGCATAGCTTTAGAGGTGGTTATGTTAAAGCTTTAAGGCCTCAGGCTTATATAGTAGCAGTATTAATTTTACAAGGCCTTATGCATAATAGAAGCCTAATATGTATTTGCTGTCCACAGACTCATTGACACATTCTTCTCACTTGACTTCTGTAATGCTACACTTCTGATTTCCTTTCTACATATTTGGCTTTTCTGTCTCCTTTGCATGCTCA